GTTTTGGATTCAAAGTTTCAGATTGAGGGTGACATTTTATTTTTTACATGATGAGGTTGCCCTGATCAGCATCTCTAATTCAATTCCAGATCAATACTGTTGTTATGTGTGAATTGCTAATGAAAAATTGGGTTTATTTTCCTGAAAGGATTGATGACTTGAATGAGGTAAATATTGTCATACATTTGAAATGACAGTTTCTGGTAAATGTGAGAAGTTTTGGTCTCTGTACATATGAAAAACTAAGTAAAGATGGGTATTAAACGCTCTGGCCTGCATTACAGTTCGTACCACACCATGTCTGGCTTTATTTTGTGTATATAATCCTTCAAAAGCTTTGTATTTATATGGTCAAGAGGGACAAATCATGTATAGACTGAGATCAACTGTCTGCCTTGTACTTTCTGATGTAAATGTGTTTTTAAAACTAAACTGCAAACAAGTGAAAAAGAAAAAAAAAATCTTTCAATGGCCTACTCACTACAGTTATTTTGTGTATTTTGCATTGAAATCTGAAGAGCGTTTTGTTTTACCATGCAGAAATACGAAAACCTTTGTACAAGTATTCTCAAAGTATTTTTTTCTGTATATATTGTGCTAGCATGAATAAATGTGGTGTGGATTTTAGATGTAAATACACACTTTTTCTTTCCTACTCACTTAACCGCTGTGACGTGTAATTCATTAATAATGCCTAATATTAAAGATAATGTTTTATCGACTGCTATTTGCCTTCTTTCCTTACTTGGATGTGTGATTGAGTCATTACCGTTTAAGTTCCATGTTTTTTTTTTTTTTTTTTTTTTTTTTTTTGTGTGTGTGTGTGTTTATTGACAGCACAGTATTAAAAGAACCTTGAAAAAAACTATACACTATTACACAATATTTGACACACCAAAAACATAACTTGCCTCAAAATGAAAATTATGGCTGCTCATACCAAAAAAACATAAAGTTAAAAGAATAGAGAAGTCAACAACACAACTATTATGATAATAACACAGAGGAAATACATTGTTGCAATCACATTTTTTTTCCAGCAAATGAACGATAAACAATGACAGCCAATCCGAATCCATCCGACTTTTAAAGACTTTAAACATTTAATATAGCATTTAATGTAGGCCTAACTTAAACACTTATTGTCAACAACTGGTGTATATTCTAATATAGACCATTTCACAAGATGTAAACAACACTGGCCCAGAAGCACTTCCTGTTTCCGTTTTTTAACTCTACATAAAAGCTGGAATAAAATACAACCAACAGAACATTTAAAACTGAATCAAAAAGTTAAACAAACATCTTTAAGATGTTTTCTTTACATGTGAAATAAAGAAAACAGTTACAAACTGAAACAGGAAGTGCTTCTGGACCAGTGTTGTTTACATCTTGTGAAATGGTCTAGTTGTTTCAAGTAGTTATCTTCCTTAGTGTGAACAGTACGTAGCAGTTCTGAGAACTCCGTTAAGCTTTTCATTAGCCAATACCTAGTCGAACTATTACCTGAATAAAGACTGGATTTACTGTTTTAAGTGCTATCAAATGTTTTGGAACTAGCCTGGTAGGCTTGCCTTTAACTGACACCAATATACTGTTTATGTGAGAAAAATATCACAAAATTGTCTTCTTTTATAATATACTTACTGATAAAGCGAATTTTGGTGGAATGTTGACAGTTGATTTATGTAAAGTGTCACCGGATGGAGGAGAACTACAAACATGGCGCTTGTGCAAACCACACATCATCAAGCCATCGTCACCAGGAATGTTCACCTTCAGAACCAATCAGAGGCCGCCAACTGGACTCACTCCCTGGATGAACACGGCACATCCATTCAGACAAGAGTGCGTGTGGCGACGTCACGCGCCATCCAATAGACGAGCGAAGAGTGGACCGGTAACCAATCAGCTGCGAGAGGGGGCGGGAACTTTCAATAGGAAGCGCTGTTGAATCTGTACGTTGCGTGTTCTCGAGCCGGTATCTTTAATGATCGTTCAGAACCAATTCTAGCACTTTCATATAACGTATTTAAATAGTTAAAGACGTTTGTTTGGTTTTAGGATGTTATATTTAAGTGGGCTTTCCGTTGCGCTCGCCCTGGCGCTGGTTCCGAGCTACAGTGACGCTTTGAAAGATGGAGAGTGTGAAGGTGAGTTGTTTAATATCTTCATGATGTAAACATGTCCAGGAAACACATATTACCTGTCAGAAACGTCTCACTTCTGCGTTTTATTCATTGGCTTTAGTTTAGCTATGTTGTATGTTTGGTTGAGGTCTTTTTATTGGGTATTTTTGGTCTTTGTTTCCTTTAAAGTGTTAAGGTAAACGTATTTTATAATATATATTTGTAAAAAAATCTTTAGGATATTTGTGAAACGATATATTAGAAAAGTAAGTATTTTATAAATTGAAAACCTTTGTATTGTAAAGGCATTTATTTATGTAAATTAGGTCACATGGCCACTACTTTTTGTTTTCAATGAAAATCTTTCGAACCGTCATATACTGTAAACAGTGGATATCATAATGCTGGTTATTATCAGAAACCCATGCAACTAAGTAAGTACTTCATATTCAGAACTATCTACGGCACACCTATTCAAATAGTGGTCGTATTTTCCTATTCATTAACTGATCAGTAAATTAATAATTTTGAAATGAAATCAGTAAACTCCTTACCTGGAATATATTATTATGAAGGGAAAAACGAGAAAGACCTGTATATTTTAATAGTGACTACACATTACACTTGTTACATTTCTGGCATATTTTTTCATCACTTGATATTGCTGTATTGTAAAGTAGGCCAAATCTTGTTTGTAAGCCGTAATGCATGTTAATGTATTGTTTTCAAAGAAATGTACATGATTTTTGCATTGCAGTCTGTGTGGGTTTCCTGCAACGGTTTTATCAGACGCTAAAAGACGGCGACATCAAGTTCAACAGTGACACCATCGAGAAACATCTTCTAAAATTTTGCAAAGAGACCAAAGGGAAAGAAAACCGCTTTGTAAGTCTTTGTGTTTATCAATGAATTTTCCTTTTTTTTTTCTTTCTTGCAATATTTCTGTTTGTTTATTCTTACTTTCTGTGTGTGTGTGTGTAGTGTTATTATATAGGGGCAACAAGTGACGCAGCAACAAAAATTATCAATGAAGTTTCCAAACCGTTGAGTCATCATGTGCCAGTGGATAAGATCTGTGAGAAGCTCAAAAAGAAGGACAGTCAAATCTGTGAACTGAAATATGGTAAGTTGCATAGAAAAATACACTACCCAGCCATCAGAAAAAGTTGCTGTTTGGATTTAAATAGACAAATGCTTAAGAGTCTATGATTGGATCATTATTGCAGTTTCTTGCATGTTATATCTGGCAACAGTTCTTCTAACCCTAACTTATAGAGTGTGTAACTTTTCATTTCTTAAACAATTAGTATGAAGACACAATGGTTGGCGAGTAACCATTTCATATCCATAGTCCTGTTTAAAGGAGAACTCTGGTCAATTTTAACATTGAGCTCATTTTTTTGTACATTTGAAGTGCTTTTAGTACAAACAAAAACGCACCGTGCACCGTGTTATCCTCTTTTATCCTCGTTTTTGTCTGTACTGACAGCACTCCAAATGTTCAAAAAAAAAAAAAAGAGCTCAATGTTAAAATTGGCATATAAGAGAATATAAACTTCCAGCCACTAAAACTAAATGCATTTTCCTCCTAGATAAACAAGTTGACCTGAGCTCCGTCGACCTGAAGAAGTTGAAAGTGAAAGATCTGAAGAAAATTCTGGAGGAATGGGGCGAATCCTGCAAGGGATGCGCAGAGAAATCCGACTTCATTCGCAAGATCAATGAGCTAATGCCCAAGTATGCGCCCAACGCAGCCAAGGCACGGACAGATCTGTAAACTTGCAGGGAATTATGGGACCAAGGCAGGGGCCAAAGGCATTTAGGATGGAAGATTAGCGCTGTGAAGCTGACTGACCGCCTAACAGTGGGGTTTGCATTGTGTTGTCACATTACCATGTACGCCAGGGGTAAAACGTCAAGAAACCAAGCACACACACGCTTCTGTTAAAACACAACCTTTCATTTATGACTTGCAATGTGCAAGCTTGTAGTTCTAAATAATATCCAACACAACTTATGTTTGGCTCCTGACGTTTCGGGGAATATGTTTGACACGCTTTGCTGAGTTTGATTTACATTTTCTTTTTCTTTTTTTTGAGGGTATAGGCTTTCTTAATTGATTCATTATATGAAATATAATGGAGGAAAGTCTCATCTTCAAAATATGAGGGTCAGTTTGAGTGTAAAATGTTTATTACAGTTATACTGTCTTTTTTCATTAAAAGAAGAAAATAAATATTTGTTGTCTTTTATTATTATTATTGTTTGTTTTATGTTGGTTTATCATTGTTTGCATTTAACATTGTACCTTTTAAATCATGGCCATTTTTTGTACGATTTCCTTCAGTACATTAGCATTTTATTTGACTACCAAAACATCATGTGATGGTATGGAATTGATTTATATGGTTATTTAATGCAATAGTCATTGCATACATTTGTATATTTTGGTACATTAAATAAGACAATGCACATTATTTGGATTGTCATATGATATGCATATCTTTTTTATTATTGTATATCATTTCAGGGTATTGGCGATGTTTGTTTGGTTATTTTTGCAAATACTATATATTATGTGTTTTTTTCTATAGCGGACTAAATTCTAAAAAAAAAAAAAGAAAATGTGCTGTGTAAAACAGAACCGGCATAACTGGATATGATAAAGTTTATTGTATTACTTCACATTCACATAGATTGTGCAGTAGAACAATAATCCAGGCATTGTATTTTTCTCAGCTCTTCTGGCATGACATTAAGTATATAACATAATTCTTGTGAATATGATTAATACATTTTGCTCTCAGAACTTTACAATTCTAAGCGTCACGCGAATGCGCACTGACGTCAGCTACGCTCCTCCCACTCGTGGGGCGCGCACATTCCTTTTGTCCAAGATGGCGGAGTAGATGCATCTGAAGCGACGCTAATGTTTGTCGTTTTATTTTTATCGGTGAAGCTCAACACCCAGGCGAACGTTTTTCCGTGCAAACGTTAGGTAAAGTCCTCCTCACGGATGTACAAAAATTCCTGAAGCCGTGAGATTTCACCTCGGAGCTGATTTTATATTTTTGCGGGGGGAGCATCACTGTAAAATGAAGCGGCAGGCCGAGCGCGACGCGAGTCCGTCCAGAACTCTCGCCAAACGCGTCCGCGAGCGAGACCGAGAGCGCGAACCGAACCCGCCGTTAGCGTTGCTGCTCGCGGAGAGCCGAAACTATCATAAACGAAGCCGCAGCCGAGAGCGGGAAAAACCGCGGGTCCGTGAAGAGAGAGAGAGTCTGCATCACCGCCCGCATCACGAACTGGGTCTGCTTGGTCGAGCCCCCCTCCGAACCACCTCAGTTCTGCCTAAAGGTAAGACTGTGACACCAGCTACAGAACCAGTGCCTACACGACTAGAATACAAGACACTACTTATCAGCAACCTTGGATCTCAGCTTTCTGATGAACATGTGGAGGACGGACTGTTTCATGAGTTTAAAAAGTTTGGAGATATGAGTGTTAAGCTGTCTCATACGCCTGAACTGGGTCGCGTCGCATACGTCAACTTCAGACACACGGAAATTGCACGGGAAGCACGTCACGCCAAAACCAGGTTGGTGCTATATGATCGTCCACTCAAAGTTGAACCCATGTACATGCGGCGTCGCAGTGTCACGCCTCCAGATGTTAGTTATGTATCTCTACACAGTGCTGCCTACACCTACAGACAGCGGTCCCTGTCCCCCGGCGCGGGCAGCACTAGCGCCCTTCGAGAAGTGAGACCCAGGCATTACGTTGAAGGCATGGGTCTCAGTCGGGACCGCGTTTTGGACTATTACAGCGCTTTGGAGGAGAGGAGCCGTGCGTATGCATATCAGCTTCCTGAGGACGACTTAAAACCAGAGGACGATCAGAGAGCCACGAGGAATTTGTTCATCGGAAACTTGGATCATAATATTTCTGAGGTGGAACTACGACAAGGATTTGAGAAGTATGGGATTATTGAAGAAGTCGTTATCAAGCGGCCTGCTCGCGGACAAGGAGGCGCGTATGCTTTTCTTAAATTCCAGAACTTGGATATGGCTCACCGGGCTAAGGTGGCCATGCAGGGACGTATGATTAACGGCAACCCGATTAAGATCGGATATGGGAAAGCCAATCCGACGACTCGGCTCTGGGTGGGCGGACTTGGCCCGAATACGTCTCTCGCTGCTTTAGCACGTGAGTTTGACCGCTTTGGGAGTATTCGCACCATTGACTATGTGAAAGGAGATAATTTTGCTTACATTCATTATGAGAGCTTGGATGCAGCCCAGGCCGCTTGCGCGCAAATGCGTGGTTTTCCTCTGGGCGGTCCGAACCGCCGGCTGCGCGTGGATTTTGCGAAGGCGGAGGAGACGAGGGCGTACCCTCAACAGTACCAGCCGCCTTTGCTCCCGCCGCCTCATTTTGATATTCTCCCTGAGGGTTACGGACGTCACCGCAGCCTAGAGAGGGAGCTGAGAGCAAGGGCCCGCTCACCGTCACACCCTCTGTTCGCCGAGCGAGAAAGAGAGCGCCTATCGGATCGGGACTGGAGTCCGCCAAAGGGACTGGAGCGGCGGGCCAACCCGGAAGCGTTTGGGCGGGTCCGGCAGCGCAGCCGTAGCCGCAGTCGAGAACGCTGGTTAAAGGAGCGGGACCTCGAGCGGGGGCTGGGGAAAAACTGGGAGGAGCGACGCAAGCGAAGGAGCCTGAGCCCCAACGACCGTCCCACCGAGGAGCGTGGACGGTCAAAGCTCAGAGGAGGGGCGCCGGCCACCCCTGAGGACAGTCCGGACCGGGGCCGCGGGCGTCTCCCGGACTCCACCTCAGAACCCCTCGATCACACCCCTGACATCAGCAGACACTTCAGCGACGAGCGTCCCGCGCAGGACGAGTCTTTGCATCTGAGGAAGGACGAGCGGGATCGCAACCACCGCAAAAGCGAAAGCGACCCGGACTCGCAGATGGACAAATCCAAAACGGACTCCAAAAAGCCCAGCACACTCTCCGAATACGCCCAGACGTTGAGCCGCGTGTGGCACGGTTCTCTCGTCCTTAAAAACAGCTGCTTCCCCACAAACATGCACATGCTCGAGGGTGGCGTGAGCTTTCTCCACGCCCTCATGAGAGACAACCAAGCAGGAGGCGCCAAGATCACACAGCTTAAAATTGCCCAGCGGTTGAGGTTGGATCAGCCCAAACTGGACGAGGTGATGCGCCGCATCAAGCTAGGCAGCCCGGACAGCTACGCCGTGCTCCTCGCCGTCCAGGGGCCCTTGGACCGGGACGCCCCTCCTCCAGAACCAGGCCTTCAACAGCGCCTTCTCCGCAACCTGGTGACGTACCTCAGGAACAAGCAGGCGGCAGGGGTCATCGGCTTGCCCCTCGGGGGCCCCAAAGAGCGGGAGACGGGGGGCATGCTGTACGCCTTCCCTCCGTGTGACTTCTCACAGCAGTATCTCCAGAACGCTCTCAAAACTCTCGGCAAACTTGAGGAGGAGCACCTGGTGATCGTGGTGGTTAGAGACTCACCTTAACACTTTAATTCCACCTCTAGAAAACGTTCCACACAGATTTTATGCCTTTTATGATTTTAGGATGGACCTTTTTAGCTAAGTACTTCCATACAGTCATCATTCCTTTCTTAACATGTTTTAAAATCAAATAGCATCCCAGAGAAGCAACAAATGAGTTTTTTTTTTTTCACCTGTGCTCAAAATCATTGTATTCTACTTTAAAAAAAAAAAAGTGTTTTATATATTTGCATGCACAAAGCAATTTGACTGAAGTTCCCATCCAGTGGTTTGCTATAATGGGTGTACTACGTACATACTGGGCCTCATTTTTTTTTTTTTTTTAATTGTTTGTAAAAATCATGTGTTGGTGAATCGTAGCATTCGATTCACTCTGACAGTTTACCTAAAAAAAAAAAGTTTGTCGATTTCTGTTGACCGGAATTCAAGTATGTGGCTTTTTTACACATTCAGTAACAGGTTTTCTCTCGTTGTCCGTTCCGCAAAAGATCCTAGATGTTTTTTGGTTTTTCCAGAAATAAAACGGTGCTTGACAAGGCGGTATGTTCAGTTCAGATTTCAGCCGTTTGTGTCGTAACTGATGGCATCTACCTCTTTAACCATGTAACACATCAGGTATGTTTGACGAAATGAAGCGAGTCTTTGAGCCCATTGCGTTTTAATTGTATGTTGTTATAAATATGCACCTGCAGCACTAACAGAAAGGTCATGTGACCATACTTGTGTGTAACGAGTTACTGTATTGATCCAGACACACTAATGTTTAACCATTACGAACACTACGGTCTAAGCTCGTGTTTATTTGTACACAGTGCCCTCCGCTGAATGACTACTTGCCGAGTCATTTGAACCCATTGGTAAAACTGAGTCAACACACATTTAAAGTGAGTTTTTAAACAAATGTCATGTGATTTGACTTTCATACTGACGTGTAAACCTCAATCAAGTGTTATTCTTAGATTTTAGTTGATAATCATGGGGTTTGAAGGTCCACCTGCCAACACTACAACCATTTGCACTGAACGGTAATTTTCCATTGTTAATTTTTAATCGTGTTCTTTTGTTTTACATCTCTTTTAACACTCCTTTTTTTGTAATACTTTTATAGGAAGTCTTTTTTTTTTCTGTCTGTATGCGAAAACTGTATGACGTATAAAGAAAAGTAAACATTTCATGTGCTTGTTTTTAAACTCGTACCTCCTGTCGTTATTTGCAGTTTAATGTTTAGCGATATGTACCTGTCTCCATAGTTACGTCTTCTCCATCTCAGTCCTGCCTACAAAACAAGTTAAGTGAAGGTTAAAGTGGTAACCAGGCAACCACATCCATCATTGAGGAGAAAAAAAGTTCAAACTAGGTTTGAGTGTGAAGTTGCCTGTAATGACCGCTAGATGTCAGGGTGCTCAAAGAAAAGTAACATTAGCTCAACATATGAAATGGCAAGTTCCTGCTGTGCAAGTGGAAGTTGCTCCAGGGGAAACAGTGAGTGCACTGCATATTAAATTCTTGCTAAAACATTATTGTGCCGTTGAACAGATTTAAAAGCAGTTAGTTTCACTCTATGCCAGTATGCAAATGAAGTAGTTTGCGCACCATATTTATGCCGTTTAACATATAGATCTACACGACGCTGGAAGATTAACCAGCCTTGTTGTTTTCGGAAGCTTTGTTAGTTATTTATAATGTTGTGAGTGACTAACACTTAATTAGCTCGTTTCTCAATGTCAGAATGAGAGAATCTAAACCGCTCAGGTCCAGTCTGTCAAATCCTGACGGATTTCCCAACGCTTTCCTGCTGACCAACTGTCTGCCCAGAAAGGCTTTAGACTTACTTAATTGACTGAACCTGCTCTCTCAAGGTGACGGGGAAATTTAAATTGGCCATTTATGAAGGGTTTTTGTGTGTTTACACTTACAGTTGTCAAGCTGCCAACAACTGGTGTAATTTGAACAGCGCTAGGCCTGATGTCCGCTGTCGGAGAACTGGGATTCATGAGTCAATTTGGGATGGCCTGAATCACAGCTCTCATATATTTCACTGTCATAGCTTGAATTTGTCTGAAAGCGTTTTAACCTTCAAATGGTCTTCGTTTCATGTTTACACTTCTGGTCTTCGGGGTCTATACCGCAACAACTGATTGAGTAATTGTACAAAAAATATACATTTTTAATCATACATAATATATCTTTTTTTTGTTTACTTCTCATCTATTCATTAATGCTATGTTTTTAGAGATATTTTCCATATACAAAAATGTATCCATATCCTTTGTATCCATACAATTCCTCAACTACACCATTAGCTTTAGCATTAGCATATGAAATGTTATTTTTTTATGATGCATTGCATTTATGCTCTAGTTCTAGGAATTCATTTCTGTGTAAAAATGTTCAGATTTATGATGGATTTAAAAATTTTTTTTGTTTGTTTCACATTTCCCATTCATTTCAATGTGGCGTCATATTGACCCCGAAGACTAGAAGTGTAAACTTTTTTTTTTTTTACATACTTTCAGAACAACCTCATCAAGCCCATGTATGAAAAGTCACAAAATCTTATTTCACTGAGATGAAGGGAACCTTTTTTTTTTAAGTAAAAGTCGATTGGGGTCGTATAGACCCCATGACCCGATTGAGGGCTACCTGAATCCTGATAACGTGTTACATGTCGTATTGGGGCAAAAAGGGTGTCGTGTAGCCTAGTTCTAACCAATGTGTTTAAAATAATGTGTGAAAAATAGATCTTAAATTATTAACTATTATGTAAAGGTCGTTTTGGTAAGAGAGAAAAAACATACATATTGCCATATATTTGTTAAAATGTGAAATATTATGAAAATTTAAAAGAACTGTTTTCTATTTCAATATACTTTAAAATATTATTTATTCCTTTGATGCAAAGCTGAATTTTCAGCATCATTACTGCAGTCTTCAGTGTCACATGATCATTCAGAAATCACTCTGTTCTCAAATTGTTTTGGAGAAAAAACATTTATTTCATAATGTGATTTTGTCCGCACTTTCAATCCTTTTACTTAAATGAAAGGTTAGATTTTTGCTGATTTTTTTTTTTTAAATATCAATAGGATAAAAGGATTTTTTTTTTTTTTTAAACAGCCGTCTTTGATCATATTTACCAAAGGGGCAAATAATTCTGGCAGCACTGTATATAAATATATCTGGTAACCGTAACACTACAATAAGGTTCATTTGTAAACATTAATGTATAACTGTAACATTATCTAACCGAAAGCAATACATTTGTTACTGTGTTTGTTCATATTTGTCAACGTTAAGTTAATAGAAAATACAGCTGTGTATTATTTCATGTTAGGTCACAATGCATTAACTAATGTTAACAAATAACTTTTGACTTTATTAATGTATTAGTAAATGTTGAAATTTACAAAGATTAATAAATGCTGTAAAATGCAGTGTGTGTTACAAATGAAACCTTATTGTAAAGTGTTTCACATTCTCTCTCTCTCTCTCTCTCTCTCTCTCTCTCTATATATATATATATATATATATATATATATATATAGCTTTCATTGATTGAGACATTGGTTTAAGGTGAATTGGGGATGTTGATGAAAGCTAAAATAGTTTTTATGCATAATTGTTTTTTAATCATCCAAATCAAACATGCAAAAGATGTCTTTAAACCTTTTTAGACAATTCATATGGATAGGCTGATTTTTATTTTTTTATTTTATTTTTTACTATTTGTCATAGATTCATTATTTTTTTTTACTTGTGAGACATTGATGGATCCTTTGAAGCAGCTCTTGAAAGGGTTTTAAAGAAAGCATCTTTCCATGGTGTGCTGAGCCAGCGGCCCGTCTGACCCGTATATGTCTGATCGCTTTAGTTTGCGCTATTGCACTTGAATACATTAACATCCACAATTCACCTCACCCAGTAATATAATATTAAACACAACTGCGAACTAAAAGGGCTTAGTTCTTTCAGGTACAGCACGGTTCGTTTGGCAGAAAAACAACTCGAACCGAACAAAATAACCTTGCTCAAGTGACAACGCTACAGATTTTCATGTTCACATGAAACATGTTCCGACTGCAAATGAAATCTCAAGTCGCACAACAAGGTTATTTATTTACAAGCACGTGAATCCCTCTGCAGCTCGGGTTGTTGTGCTAGCATGTTTTTGTACGCTCTTGGCTAATGTCTTTACCTAATTCTTTTTTTGCCCTTTTTGTCGTTTCGAATCACAAGTTTCATCCCCGGGGCGTAAAGCAGGAATCGGGTGTTTCGGGGGTTCGGCTGGTAGCAGTCCATCGACCCAGAGCACTTCACTGTAAGCTAGCCTGATGCTCTTCTGGCGCAGGAAATGGAAGACACAAGTAATGAAATATTAATGCGGATCCATGAGAGGGTCCAATGAAATCCATTAAAGCGAGGAAAATCAATGAAACTTGGCCCCACTGCTTCTCAGCTGGGCTGATGAGTTGACCGGATCTGGTGATGTGGTTTTCTTCGTCTTTATGGACCTTCGGTAAGAACACATATGAACGAGACCATACCAGAGATCAGCCATTAGTGACACATGGGGCCTTCAAACCACTATTATTTTTAGCGCCCGCACACTTTTCCAGCGGCGCGGGGTCTGGAAGTATTTTTTTCCATTCATTTTTTTTCCCATTGGGATTATAAAATAGTCTTTGTTAAAGAGTTAAATCAGCCAATCAGCTATGAGGTAAATCACAACACTACAAACAAAAAGACGAAAGTTCAAGACTGTACCTAACGGCTTAAGTGAGGGAAAGAACTACAATCCCATGAAGCATAGCATAATCGAATTAAAAATGGATAAACAAAACTACTCATCGTTTGCAGTTTGAGTTTCTGTACGGCATTATGGGTAATGTAGTTTGTCATTAGCAATTCCGCTGCTAAACACAATTATTTTAAAAATAAGGTGAAATAATGCAGGCTGTACTATTCACAACTATGTAGCCTAGCTTTTAAAGCAACAAAAATATGTTGTAGTCAAAATTTATTTTCCTCATGGAGAAAATGAATGGATTTTATACTTCCGTAACTCAGTTGTTGCATTTTATTGCAGCTTAAGGCCATTTATACTTCTGCGTAGGGTGCGCGCAGTAGGTACGGCGTAGCATGCGCACAGACACGTACCATACCGCGTACCCTTCGGCGTAGCCTGACGCGCACCTCCTCAAATATGTAACTACACGTCGCAACGAGGCGGACCGCAAGATCGGTGATTGGTCAACTTGGTAGCATCGCATTTCCTCCTACGCATTTCCGCACGTACCATCTCCTCCGACGTCTTCTCTCGTTTCTGTCTTTCAGTTTTAGTAATTTCACTAAAATGAACTGTTTTTCCACCTCAATAAGCTCCAACTCCAACATGATCCGCTCTCTTTCAGTCGCTATTGCTTGTAGTAACCTAGCCGCGAGGACTCTAAACACAGTGGAACATTAAAACCCTCCGCCGCCAACTAGCGTTTCGGAGCAGTACTGCAGAGCAACCAAGACCTGAACGCAGAAGTATAAATGCTCACGACGGCGTCTACGCCGTACACTACCCCGCACCCTCGACGCAGAAGTATAAATTGGCCTTTAGGCTACGTCTACATCAATCCAGATACATTTGAAAACGCCTTTTTCATTTCAAAACAATATGTCCACGCTAGCCCTTTCAAGCGTTTGTTGTCCACACTGAAATGTCGGAAAATGCTAAAATCATCTTAATGTGTTTACGTAAAAGCTCACTAACAAGGGACCAGACATAATTGATCTTATTAGCAACGTATCTCACCCCTAACTGATACGTCCAGGTCGGACTCAATTGTCATTCCATGTTTGGTCTAAAACGCAATTGCTCTCATGTTTTGCCACAGCATTGCTAATACATTTATCATGAATAGCACAGACCTTTATAAACACACATCTATCGGTACGATATGCGCCACATGACTTAACATGCATTTCAAATACCTCCGTTTTCAAAGTCCACATTACAGCTCGAAAATGGCATTTTTAAAAGTATCCACCCTGGAGAGCGTCGTAGTTTGGGCGAAAGGCCAAACGTAGAGAAATAGATGCGCTTTCAAATGTATCTGGATTAGTGTAGACCAGGGTTCCTCAAATCCTGTCCCAGAGGGCCGATGTCCGACATACTTTAGCTCCAATCAAAACCTTGCCT